TGAAACCAAAACTGAAACTGTAAGCCCACAGCTTAGTGAGTTCCCCTAAAATACCGATATACTGCAAATAACACATATATAAATAACAACATGTAATGGGTCCACAACTTTACAGACTGGATCACCCCTGTGTAACGACCCAAAAATCAAGGGTAAAAATTTTATTTTTAATTTAGTCAAAACATAGCTATCATTATTTCCAAACATCCAAAACATTATTAATTAAAACATTTATCAGAGTCCATCCCAAAATCATTTAATGTGGAAAACATGGGTGTGTGCACTGCGATCAATCCGGGCCCGTCTTTTCCAAACCGATGATACCTGACACAATAAACAAAATTGTAAGCACAAAGCTTAGTGAGTTCCCTAGTGCATACTCCACACAATCCACATAACCACATAATCAACATCAGCTATAATAGCTACATAAACCATATCAATCACATAACCATGCATATAAACATATACAAATGTCGTGGGCTCCCCCATGTCTTACTCCAGGATGCCATGGGCTCCCCATATGGTCTTACACCTAAGTGCCATGGGCTCTCCCATGGTCTTTAATAGGAATCCATGGGCTCTCCACATGGTCTTACATACGAGTGCCATGGGATCTCCCCATGGTCTTTTAGTAGGAAATCCATGGGCTCTCCACATGGTCTTACATCCAGGTGTCATGGGATATCCCATGGTCTTCCATGCAAATATCATAAAGATAACTAGGATACTACAAAATCACTAGCATACCACATATACATGCATACCAGACATATCAGTAGTGAATCTACAAGAAACACTACAACATAGTAGGAAAGCCACGGGCTCTCCACATAGTCTTACATCCAGGTGTCATGGGCTCTCCCATGGTCTTCCATACAAGCATGCCACATATACCACTAACGTACTACCTAGCACATTACCAGCTAACATGCTACATAAAACAACTTCATCTAGTGTACCACACATCATAAAATGGCTCCGCCTTGGTGCCTTATGTCACAACTAGGAAATTTTATGCCTCTGTAACAACAATGATGATAACATTTGTAACCAAAATTTGAAAACACGCTTGGTGTTTTTTCAATGACAACAAAATTTCATCAAGAACACTATACAAAAACTTCAAATAGTCAAATAAAGACCGGAAACCCTACAAATCCCGATTTAAGTCCAGTATGGACTAGGATTTCCTTATTGGGCCTAATGGACCAATAAGCTTCCAATTTTACTAATTTGGGCTTAAGACCCTTAAATGGACCCTAATTGGACCCACTTTCATGAAACTTAACATTTTGGGCCATAATAGATCCAAAATAAATTGATTTACCTTAATAGGCCTTATTGGGCCATAATTGATTCAATTAGCTTTCATGGACCATAAATCCATTCTCTTATACAATTTTGGGCCGTGAACACCCCAAAGGGGGCCCAATGGGCCGAAAACCATCAAAATGGGCCTCTTATTATTGAAACCAAGCATTAAAGGCCCATTCCATCTCTTTTTTTATCCCTCTTGACCCATCATTATCAACAAAAAAAAAAAGATTATGCATGGAGTAAATGGTGACACCTCAAGTTTACCTTGTGGTTCTCCATGCTAATTACCCACTAAGCAAAGAGCCAAATCTCATACTTCTAAGCACCCATCAACTCACACCTCTCTCGTCTTCCTCTCTTCTTACCTTCGGCCGAGACACCACCACGACACCATCTCACCTCTATTCTCTTATTTCAAATCACTTTAAAGTTTCTCTTTAGAAACTCCCTCTTC